CTGGGGTTTATTCCATCTGAGCCCCCAGTAATAATACACCGCAGAGCTGGCTGAACTTGAAACTATTTTATGCCGGAGGTGCTTGTAGGGGAACTGTGGTCCCAATGCATGGTGGCTCTCTAGCTCAGGATCTGAGCCTGTGGCTGAAGGTTGCTGGTTCAAATCCTGCGTCTGGCAGAGGAATCCTACTCTGTTGGGTCCCTGAGCAAGGCCCTTCACCCCAACTGCTCCAGGGGTGCTGTATAAATGGCTGACCCTGCACCCAGACCCCCAGCTTCTCTCCCTGTCTGTGTGTCTCATGGAGAGCGAGCTGGGGTCTGTGAAAAGACAAATTCCTAATGCAACAGATTGTATATGGCCAATAAAGTGATCTTATCTGATCTTTTCTCAGACTGGTTACTAAAGCTCGGTAACAGAATAAATTCAGCAACAGCATTGAAACATTTTACAAATTTTGAATTAAGCACGAATGGTGGGCTTTGTGAAAGCACTGTAAGTCGTCATGTTGTCGCAAACTTGCATTCGAGTTTCCACCAATTGTGACGTGAAGCAGCCCTTCCTGCTCACTAGTCCCTGTGCTGTGATGTACGAGCGGATAAGTACAGGCAGAGTTCACAAGTAGTATTTGTCGGTAAACCTGTCTTGAAGTCAAGAGCACTATTTCTATGGGGTTAAAAGAGACTTCTTCACAAGCCTGCTCGTTTGCAGAGGCACAGGGCTGCTACACCTTACCGGAGTTTTTGTGGCCCTGTTCTGAATCGCAGCACATGGCACCATTCAGGTCTGGAAACTTCTTCTATTTTGTGATGCAAGTGGGAGGTTTTAAAAGTCACTGTGAACGTCTGAGTTTCACTGTGGTTTGAAATGCGCTCTTCAATGCCGATTCTTTCTAACCCCAAAATATAAAAAATAGCTTGGCAGGTAGCTTAAAATCTCCAGCATCTTGAGTAAGAAAAGACGGAAAAAATATATCCCCAAAGGTCTGATCTAACTTGGTGGCTTAATTAAGGATCTGTTAAAGTCTGGAGTTCAGCCTCACTGACTCCAGCAGGCGTGTGG